CGCCCGGGGAGCCCAGGCGGGACGCGCTCTCTGGGCGCAGGCTCGCTGATAAACCTTCGGTCGGGTTCATCACTCATGTCACTGCCTTAGTGCCGTGCGTACTCTTATTAGCGTCACTTAGAGGTGAGGAAGCAGGCTCAAAAAATATCAAGTTACGTGCTTGAAGTCAAACGGAAGGCAGAGCTGCGAAGCAAATCCAGGTTTGTCTTGACACAGCTGTATGTCCTACTTCTCTTGGATCAGCCTCTTCCCGGCTTTCATTCCAGTGAGCAGCAAACAGGTAACAGGTGGGACAGGTACACTGAGAGGTGGAGCACCTCTTTATGGGGCAGCGGGGCAGTTTGCTTCTGGTTGGTGCTCACTTTTGCCCAAGTGTGCCGTAAACATATTGTTGTCCATGTGTACCACGAAGTGGACAAGGTTGGAAAGCATTTCGCAGAACTTCTGCCACACCATATATTGGGATCAGGGACACCTAACATAAAGGCTCTACTGGAGGATTAAAGAAGACAGGGTTTACATGGATGCTAGCACCTCAAAGATCCTCATTACATAATAATTCTCTTTTCTTTTTGCAGCGCTCCCGGGGACATCTGGGCACTCACCCTTCTAACACTGGAGAGGGGACGCAGTCATTTTTGGTCAGTACCCTCTCTGATAGATGAAAGATTTAATCCACTCCCTGGGAAAATCACTTACCCCCATCTCCATCTAATTAGTGACAGACGGTGAGCTAGGGGCCCTGTCTCTTGGAAGCGTGCAAGGGCTCTTGCCACCTCACCTCCCTTTTCCTCCCAGAACCTTCAGAACAGCTCAGAGGCCAGAACGTGACTTCCTCGGAGACCTGATGACGGTGATGTGGGCGGGGACCTCCGGGAAGGAGGAGGAAGTCAAGTCACCGGGTTCACAGCTGGCCTGTCTGCCATGCCCTAGAGAGGGACCCAGCACCTCAGGCGTGGAGCCAGCCCTACCGGCCTGGGCCTCTTTGCTGGCTTGGTCCCCTTTTGGAAGAGTGGCAGCCCAGTAAAAGATAAAGT